AGATTGTCTCTCAGAAACTCTGTCAGTCTTGCCGGTCACTGAAAGGCAAGGACTGACTGGGCTCTCCACCAACTGAGCCCTTGCAGAAAACTGTCTTTGAAGATCACCCGTGTCCTTCATTGGAAGGTAAAGCCGGCTACAGTTGTACTTTGTGTTTTTCTTTAACACATCTGCATTCTGAAAGAGAATGCCAAAGAGAAAATATAGGATGTGATAACATCAGTCTTCTGTATCAACAGTTCAGGCACATGTACAGCTGTGTGGCTGAGCAATAAGCGACCTGCTAATTGTGCTTTTTTCAAGGAAGAACTCCAACATTTTCCAAACATACTAGTCTATGTATTTTTTCCTAATGCGATTATGTAAAACAGCTAAAGGTGAATGAGAGTTGTTCAAGTTTCGCTGAAACCTGAACAGATCAGTGGCCAGAAAAAACAGATATTGAGATATTCTGCTGGGTCCAGGGGGCACCTGGAACCTGTTTAGCCACGGCATGTACAAGTGCATATAAAGAACTTTGGGTTTTAATTTAGCACATTATTTGTAAATAGCCCATTGTTTGCGTTGCATATAAACGGCACTGTTTTTTACATGGGAGACTGTATGTGTAAATATATACACATGTACTTCACACAACAAACAGGCTGAGTAGGAATTTAAGGACTTTACCTTAGAGCCAGGTTTACAAAATGCTTACTGCATGGAAAAAACAACGGTTCTTGAGCTTAATGATTTTTAAAAAGTAAACATAAGGAGAACTACACTGAGATTAGTTCCTCCATGTTCTCTGTCACTTTGGGTGTTGTCTCCTGTTTTTCTGAGGGATCGTGTCATTAGGAATTAGTAGAATGTCCTTGCAAATTCTGTAGTAGTCACAGCTTAGTAGTAGGGGAAAGTTATTAGTTATGTAGTTGCCCAGCATAAGATAATACAGTGCCCAGAACACAGAGACCAACCAGCAGCAAGGGGTGAATATGCGGAAATTAATATGCAGATAAATATACATTTTGAGAATGCTGGGGATTCTCAAAGCCCCTAATGAGCATATAATGGGGGACATGCAGTAAGTGTGTCAGGAAGTCTGTAACCCTGGAGTATCCCTGCCAATAGGGAGACACCTGCATTTTGGGCAGAGGGGATAAAAGAGGCTGCAACCTTCATTAAGCTGAGAGATCTCACTGAGGATTGGCCAGTGGAATCTCCTTTTATTTGAATATCAGTTTTAGTCAGCTCCTCTGTCTCTTGGCTGTTTTCCAGGCTCTTAATACCTGGATTGTTTTTAAGAATAATTTGTTGCTTGTACTGTTGGGGTATCCCTTGAACTGCAGGTGACACCAATTCCTTGATGTTGACCAGAGCAGAAACCTTTTCCCCAGGAAATTAGTTGTGTTACTTGTGTGTCCCTAAGGACAACTGCAAGCTAAATGTTAATGCCCAGCACCTGTACCACGTCACAGGGCCCCGGCCCCGCCTCCCTTCCATGTTCCATCCGCTGCCTGGAAACCGGGAACGCGGGCACAGCCACTGTCGCGTTGGTGCTGCCGCGTCAACACCCGCAGTCCCCGGTCGGCTCTCGACCTACCCTGTTCCCCGCGGCCTGAGCTCCGTCAGGCAGCGACACTGAGCGCTTTGATAAGCGAATGCTTGGAGAGATTGTCTCTCAGAAACTCTGTCAGTCTTGCCGGTCACTGAAAGGCAAGG